GCTTGCTCTAACTCCTATGTGGGTATAAGACGACACATGAAGACATTTCTAAACCTTTTGAAAAACAAATGGTAAAATTGTGTCCTGCCTCTTCAGTAACAAAAACATTTAGGTTTTATGTTTCAGATTTGCCCTGTGAGCTAACATTTAGGTCAGCTAGTTGGTTGACTTGACCATTCCAGCATGGAGTTGATTTTTTAAAAAAATCCTGAAATAAACTGGTGAGATAACGTCATATGAAATCACTCACATGATTCTTTTCCATCTAACCAGAGGTAGTTTCTGGTTTGGACTTTGGTTTGGTTTTTGATCCATAATAAACTCAAAAGGTTTGTGCTTCCAATCTAATAAAATGCTTGATTAGAAGTAAAGTTGACTGTCCAGATGTTTTATATCACCTATAACAAAGTTTAAGTAGGTCAGTACATTGCTAGGATCTGTTGTCACAACTAGTTATTTCAGACTAAGTTCTGTTCAGTTAAACATCACTTTTATGTGATGTTTAGCAATGTTGCTCTGAAAGTTGTGCTTAACTTTTGCTTTTCAAAGGACTGCCACAGAAAATCATTAAGTAAGTTGATGAAATAACAGATTTGTATGTTATGGTATTTCTTTTTTTTTCTTTTTTTTTTCAAAAATAAATGAAATAGTAAAATAGATGTTTTCAGAGTGAATTGTCTGGTTCCAAGTCAAAGGGTTAAAGTGCTGTGTAACTTTCACTGTGACTCACACAAGTTACTATAATTTAAAAAATAAAAATTGAAAGGTTAACAAATCTACAAGTTAAATTTAATCAGTGTAACATCATAGCAAATATGAGGAGATGTTGTCAGAAACAAGTTCAGCAATGATATTAAAGCCTAATTTCCAAGTGGAAAATAATTTAAACAGAACTATGAATATTTTCTTTTTGAAAGTATTCATAACTTTAAATGTTTTTTTAAAAATAATGTTTTTAAATTTCTTTAATAACTCCTTCGTTTAAAAGATCTTTCAGAAAAGATGTTCACCTTCCCGCAAGAAACCAACACAGCACATGTTAGGTTGACATCAAGTCAAAATTTACAGGCTGTAACTGTCTGTTTGAGGTAAGAACTAACCTTGGAAATGCATGAAAACAAATAAAGCTATCTACAGAGTGCATGAATGTCTACAGCTAAAACTAAATTCTTCATGTCTTTTGCCTCAAAACAGGTTCTTTACAGACCTCAAAAGAGATTATTCTCTTTTCTCGTTGGCTCTACCCTCTTTTGATAACGACTTTTTGTTATTAAAATCGGCCAACTTAGATTCTTTTCAAATGTATGTAAGGAACACGGCCGCAAATTTTGAAGGACTGGACTTCAAGCTGAACAAGTGGCAATCAGTTTGTGCAACATGGGATGCTGCATCAGGTTTGGCCCAACTGTGGGTGGATGGAAAGCCTTCAAGCAGGAAATTTACCAGCTCTGGATCCAATATCAATGGACCAATTATTATTGCTTTGGGACAGGTGCGTTTTTAAACACAGTAAATATAGAAATATTAATACATTATGAAAAATATCCCAAATTGTATCAAGTTTATGATTCAATCAAAGTTAGTCACATATTAAAATTGGTG